CAACAAGCAAATTTCCGGCTCACTAGTGATAAATTGCGAAAATTAGGCACCAAAATAGTGATATTGTCCTGCAGCAGTCGCTTCTTGATCATTTACCTAAATAAACACATAGACTAACGTCAGTGTTGTATCTTCTTAAATGGCAAATATGTCTCTTCATTAGGTACGATTGTTTCGTTATTATCTTGCTACACTAATACAGCATACCATAGCACCCAAAGCTATCTATTTGCTCTGAAAGATAGAGCAAGATCCCAAGTATGGGACTATGCTGTCAAAGCGCATAATTGTGGCTTTCATGAAGCCAAAGCAAGACAAAGTACTGTGAAAGAACATACTATTATTTAGGCACGGAAGAGCTGGGAGGTTATTTGCCATAATCCGAAGTGTTAGCCGCACAGTGGAGGTAAAGGTTGCGATGAGCAAAGTGTCCACGTATTTAAACAAGCAGCTAAAAATGTCAACTCATTGAAGTTAGTTAAAGTCTCGACCATCTGAGAGGGTGAAAGGCTATCCTACTTTAAGAGTATCTGGGAGAATTCACGTATATAATCTCAGTATCTGCGATTGTTCTGCCACTTTTATAGAAGAGTTTGATACAAATCACAAAGCGTTCTTCTTTATCTCTCCTTTTAAGGGCAATTATCTGATAAATGTACAGTTTTTTCAAAGTACTTAAACAGCGGCAATAGCGTGCACTTCTAAACATGATCTAAAAAAATGGTCATATCTTTATCCAAATCTAGAAGGGAACTAATTGCAGACATCCTCTTTCGCATTTGGAAGCATTAGAGTCTCTAAAAGGGCTAAAACTTAGCACGATTTGTGTACGGTGGAGCTGTGAGAACAACACATGCAAGCACTTAAAAACCCGTCTCCTTCCGCATTTCTTTAACGCTGCTAAACTGATTTAAAGCATAAGGATACTAATCTCCACATATTTACGCCAGTAATCCACCAAAGTGGCAGCAATTTTTAACCCGAATAAAACTTTTATTTGGGGTTCCGAACCTTATTAATAAGGTATTTTGGTGGAGACTTCAGAGGGGAACTTGATCTTAAATCTTCGATACAGCTACGAGAAGATTAAGGGCGGGTCAAAGTGCTGTTATACATATCGTACTTATTTATTAAATGTCTAATC